TATCGATGCGCGCCCGGCCCCGCGGGCGCCCCGCGCTCGCCCCGCGCTCGCCCCGCACTCACCCGCTTGTACACGTCTTCCCGGCCGGCCTCGCATTTCTGCTGCATGCGCTCCTCCAGGAAATAGATGCGCAGCTTGAGGCTGAAGTTCTCCTTCTTCAGGTCATTGAGGTGCTGGGACAGAGTGCGATACCCATTAGACATGGTGGGCGGCCCATGGGGAGGAGCATGCCCAGGCGCCCCTTCACCCCAGGAACGCGCTGCGGCGGCCCCGCGGCATGAAGCGAGCGGCCGGCCGGCTGGGGCTACGGCGACATGGCCCCCACGGCTGGCGCGCGCTCGGGGACACGGGGCCTCGGGGACTCGGGGCCTCGGGGCCCGGCTCGCTGCTCTGGGTGCTGGAGCGCAGCGCGCTTTCCTTTTTTAACCTCGGGGAGATATTTGCGGAATCCCTGACAGCGGGACATGCTGCGTGAACTCAAGACACACACAAGTGGTGTAACCTGACGCCGAGCCAGGGCTCCAAGCTGCCACCCTCCCCGAGCCGCCCAGGCCCAGCTGCGGGCAGTCAACAGCTTCTCTTCTCGGAAAAAGAGAGGGGAGCGACCCCCAGACGCTTCCAGGAAATGGGAAAGGGGCGTAATTCAGGGCGACTGGCGGGGTTACAAAAAAGGGAAGGAAATGAAGGGTGTTTGTGTGGGGGGAGGGGGTATTTTAGCTCCTGGAGGCTGATTTGCACAATAAAACACAACAGAGTGTGGCCAGGAGTAAAGAACGAACCCGTGGACTCGAAATGGTGAGCCCATGTCAAATAGCCCCTTTCTGTCCGGGGCAAATCTTAAAAGAGCTACTAGCCAGAGGGGTCCCTAATTTCCTTGGATGATCCCAAACCTCTAATCACTTCCTTGAGTTTTCTCCCCTGACTTTTCCATCCCAGAGTTAACTTGAATCAATTGCCTTTATTTCCATAAGCCTCCCCTCCCCCACCATGCATGCGAGCCAGCCCAAAATAAAGAGCGAACTTTCTCGTTCACTGGAATCTTTGCAAACTCTGTTGACCAGTTACAGGAGCTCACAAAAAGGCAGGGTCAAGGGCTCCTCCCCACAAGGGATGAGGGAAAGGCGGGGAGGGAGGCGGCAGCCTGGAGCCCAGAGATTTCGGCCAGCCCCTGGTTCTCACTCAGGCACCTGCCAAGTGGTGCCAGGCACTCATCACCAGATCCTGCTCCTAAAGCAATTTAAGATCCTTGAATGACAGCTGCAGCATTAGCAGGAAGTGTTATTTATATCACATCACACAGGAGGTGAAGGTCACTGGAGACACACACACCAAACACAGGTTCTCCGTTGCGGTAAATATTAGGTTGGAAAAAAATTAACAGGAGACTAAAAGTTTATACTTAATTCAAGTACCCGCTTCCTCCCCAGCCTACCTGCTCTTCATTCGTCTAATTCTTTGTCAACTCTTCACAGTAATTCCAAGAGACATCTCCGGAGTCCCCTCCAGGTAGTAAGAATGCTGGGCATGAGGGGACTCGAAGATGGACACAGTCCCCACCCTCAAAGAGCTATATAGATATAGGTGTGTGTTTTACACTGTAATCCTCCAAGCTTGTGTTAGTCACACTTTTTACATGTTACACTGCAATCCAGCACACACACTTAAATGATGTGAAGGTGTCATTAAGTAAAGTCACCATCACTGCATGTGGAGCACGTTGATGTTATTCATTCGTGACACACTGATGTTCCCACCTAAAGTTTGAAAAACACGGACTCTCTGGGAACCCAGAAGACACAGTGGGTAATAGTTACTGGCCTAATGACAGAAAGCTTCATTCGGAGCTGCACTTGCCCTTCGCTTTGAAAGATGGAAGAAGTGAAGTGAGTGGATCAAGTGGCCCTACGAGGGTGTAATTAGAACTGAGCATTCTCTCGAATAGATCTGAATTGTAAGTCGTCAGTATGTTTTTTACCATAGACTGTTAGCAACTTAAGACAAAATATTCCGCATTTTTTAAAAAATGCAGACATTTAAAATTCATTTAGCTATTTTCGTTAAATCTGTGCTCTTAGAATAAATTAACGTCACTTAGGCTCAGGGTGAGGAAGAGAAAAGTCTAAGTTAAAACTCAAGAATCCTTTCCTGGTCCCAGCTCTGTTACTGAAGGGTTGTCTGACCTTAGAAGTGCGCTTCTCCGGGCCCAACTGTCCTCATTTATAAAATGAAGAGGCTGGGAACTGGGTGATTATTTTATTTATTTTATTTTTTTATTTTAATGTCTTTATTGTTTTCAGCAAGAGGAAGGGAGAGGGAGAGAGAGAGAAACATCTATGAGAGTCACTGATTGACTGCCTCCTGCACACCCCTGACTGGGGATCGAGCCCACAACCCCGGCATGTGCCCTGACCAAGAATTGAACCGAGATCTCCTGGATCCTAGGTCGATGCTCAACCGCTGAGCCACGCCCAGCCAGGCGAACTGGGTGATTTTTAAGGCACTTTCTGGGTCTCTGCTCTGATAAGAATAATCTAGTTATCACCTCCGTCTTGCACACAGGGAGCCAGGGTGCCGGGTTTGTGATTAGTATTTGGTAATGCTTTCAACGTCTACTTGGATTCTTTTATCAAGTGAGATAATTTAATAAAAGCTTTATGAAATGCAACACTGCATCCGAACGCAGGGCATTCTTCTCCCACCTAGATACTCCTTCCCGCACGTGAACGTCGATTCCCTCTTCGGCCCTGTGATCCCTTGCTCTCAGTCTCTGGCCCCTTTCCTGGTTTTTGCTGCTCCTTAAAGTGAATAACCTAAATGATGGTTATAACATCCTTAGTCTGCTGGTTTTTTCTCTCTTCATAATTTCTCCACTACCACTGGCACCTCTACCACCCTGGCCCAAGACAGTATGATCTCTCTCCTAAATTATTTGAATAGCCCCTTTAACTGGTCTCCCTGCTCCTAACCTTGCTCCCCTATAATCTATTCTTAGCACAGCAGTCACAGTGACCCTATTAAAACATATCAGCTCGCTCCTCTGCTGGAAACCCCACTGTCATCTGTGTAGTTTAGAGGGAAACGCTGAGTCGTTTCATTAGCCCATAAGGCCCAAGGCCCTACATAATCTGGAGCCTCTCTCCTTGCTTGGTCTTTTACTTTGCTCCTCTCCTCCCCCCCTACACATTCTGCATGAGCCACACTGTTTCTCTCTGCTGTTTTTCAAACACAGTGAACACCTCCCTCCCTCCTCAGGGCCTTTGAGCTTGTTATCTCCCGTATGGTATGCTCTCTGTCTATATAGTTAAAACCATAACTCACTCTGTGCGTCCCCCCAGCACTCCATATCTCCATTGTTTTTTCCCTTCCGTAGCACTATCACTGTCTAAAATATATTTACTTACTTATTCTGTTTCTTGTCTGTCTCCTCCCACTAGCATGTAAACTCCAGGATTTTTGCCTATTTTGTTCACTGCTATATCATCAGTACCAAGAGCGGTACTTGGTACACAGTAGGTGCTCAATAAATATTTGCTGGATAAAAGAATGGATGAATAGTTAAGCTACTACTGACTTTGACCTAAACAGATTTAATCCTAAAAGAACTCAGTCTGTATACAAAATTATAGAGGTGTTTTAGGATGAAGAGCATATCTAAAGGCATTCTCTCTTTATAAAAAGATTATCTTCTAAGTAAAATAAATTATTCTAACAGACTAATTTTAATACACAATGCAGAATCTTAACTTTGTATGAGTTCTGAACAAATGGGGTATGATATATGACAAATCACAAGGGAAGGACAGTCTGAACCGTATCAAGGAGTAAAAAACATAGAAAATAGGAAGGAGAGCAGGCAGGAGGTTCCACAGAGAACTGGCATCCCAGCTCTCCCTAAAGGCTGAATCAAGTTTGGCCAGGCTTCGGGGAAGAGCACAAGGCAACCTAGGCAGGTGGAACTTAAGCAAAGGTTCAGAGAGCCCACAGGACTGAGAAAATGGCACATACTGCCCTGTAATGGGGGAACAGAGAGGATGGGGGGTGAAGGACCATTTTGGGAGATCTTGAAAGTCCAGGTAAGGAGCCAGATCTAGGCACATCCTGGCTCTCAGTTTGGACAAAGCATAAGGAGAAAGGCCGTGTGGGAGGGCCAGGAACTGCTTACTAGGAAGATCGTTTTGTTTGTTTAGTGCTTAAGTTTATCTTTTATAGCTTTAAAAAATGAAAATGCACATACCTACTAAATGGGATGCGCACTAGACCTACTAAACCAGGGCCTCTGGCGGGCAGGCCCCAGGCCCGTGTGTTTCCCTCAGCTCAGAGTTACTTAGGGGAGGAGCACTGCGGGCCCTGAGCAAGGCTTAGTCTTCTATCCTGGTTCTTTCTTTATTACACAGGACGTCGAAAACCTTTACTCTTACCTCAAAATATTTTTCCAAACATTAATGGCTCTCCCCTGCTCTTTCCTTAATTTCCTCTTCCCACTGCTTCTTAATGTATTAGCTCAAACTGGAAATAAGACTTTAATAAGGGCTCGATCAATGCCAACAATAGCACGAGGATTACAACCCAGCTGTCGCATGTCATGCCCCATTAACACAAACAACTGTCAAGTCAGCCTTCAAAAAAAACTCAGTCTCACATCTGCCTAATCATACTCAGACCCCCCACATAGCTCTCATAAATGGAGATGCTTGAAAACATATTAATCTCTTACCATTCTCTCTTCTAAGACTAAAGTTCCGCTCCACCAAAAATGATTAATCATCTTAATGGACACATTCTTTTCAAATATAATAAGGCTTCTGCAACTTACACTCTATTAATTTGATATCTGTGATAATTTGTATCTTTACATTTCGTGAAAATAAAAATATTCTTAAATAATATGGTAAACAGAGGAACAGGAGAATAGCCTTCTAAGTAACCTTTGACACTATACTTACTATCCATTTACAAACAGGCAATAAATATTATCATTATTGTGTGTGTTTATCTAGGTGAAGTAGCTGGGAATTGCAGAAAGAGAAAAAGCTCTTGAACCAAGGAGGTGTAGGTTCAGATCCCAGCTCTGCTGTTTTCTAATTATGCAACTTTGGGGAAATTACTTTCTAGTAATTAATTAACTCTAGGAAAGGAGTCGGGAGACAGATCTGAGTAGGCTACTAAGAAGCTT